TAAATAAGGGAAATGCCGCTTATGGCTGCAACCACGTTGTGGCTTGGTAGAGATTCATAAAGCGAAGTGTGTCGAAAGTGATGAATTTCAAGTACCGTTTCTCATATGAGAACAGCGGCTGCGAGGGACGGTGAAGAAGCTGTGGAATGCTTACCTCACACACTTCCCGTAGACCACATGACTGGATCTCGAAATGACTGCGGAAAAATCTGTTACGAGATTCAAGAAGTGTCCACGAACTTTTGGGACAACCTAATAATTAGGTGCGATCGTACCTATAATGGCTTGACAGCAAAAATAAGTGTTAGAATCGTGAACGGGGCCAAGGGTTACCCTTGTATACAGATTTTTAAGAAAGTAAAGGTTTTTGGTGACAGTGGACCGGCCACTGGATTGGCAGTGGCACCCCAACTCGCAATGTCCATGTAGGTCACCGGCAAAACCAACCTTTGCGAATTTCTCTTCTCAGATTCGGTATGACTCCAAAGAAAACCACGTTGGTCCTGGGGCATGTGTAGCATCTTGGGCTTTTCTCGGCTCCCATCGTATAAGCTTGCATCAAGGAACTGGTTACCTCCAGCCGTACCCCTTGAAGCGGAAGCTGTCTATTTTAATTTCAAATAAATAGTGAGTAGTACTAGAACATAGAAAATAGAAAGGTTCAGGTATAGAAGTTGGATACGGACACCTGGATACTGATAGACACTAGTTCAGCAGATCTGTTGCCAAAACTCGAAAAAAACACAAGGAGAAAATTTTTGTGAAACTTTGTATTAGCCCTGATCATGGTTCTGACATTTATAAACGTTGTTCTCGATGCATGGTTGACAAAATTCTCCTTAGCTGACTCAACATTACAATTAGAAAAGAGCTCTCGTAGTGGCTTCCTTTAGGAACCTTTTCACTCATTTGTTTGGCATTCCCAGAATGCGTAGCAAAAATTGAACCGATTTTGTCTTTCTTATATGGACCTCTACAACATGCAACAAACATTTCTGAAAAGCGCGCGATGACCTGAATGACCTCAGTTGTAGGCCCTCTCTTTGATGAGGTCACTTCGCAGCTAGGCACCAAGTTTTCGCACCTCATTGAAGCTGTCTCGCTGTGAGGCGCGAACCACCTCTTTATTACGTGCGATCGTACCGATTATAGCTAACTCCGAGGTGATCATTAATAGTGACACCCGTCGGGCAGCCTCACACTTCCACTTTCTGGAACGACCGCAAATGCGATGGAAAAGAAAGGCAAAGCTCTTCTATGAGTAGACGTTGATTATAAAATTTTTTGGTTAGATGCGATGCAGTAGGAACCAAAGTAAGTGGTAGCTAGAGGTTGCTAGATCTGGTGCTTAAGCTAAATATGATTGCATCCCCTAGTCGTGCTTTGTAAGGCTGCGTTTATACTTCGCGGCAGCGTACAGCAGCGTACACTAGCGTAACAGCGTTACGCTAGCGTAGCGTTAGATTGCGCGTGCTGTGAAATTGCGGCGCACGCAGTACTAGTACCGTAAACTAAATTCGTTAAATTGCATAAATATGTGGTTTAGCTGTAGGAACGGAATGTTTTTTCCATTGTCGCACTGGAATTGAACTGAACTATGAAAATGCTGGATTTTGCAGGTACCATCTCCCTTTTTAGGTCTGATCTGTTGGAGACTGATCTTTTTTTTTAAGGACATTTGGTAATTCGTTTGAACGATTTCACGTAGAAAGTACGGCTGAAAAATACATGCTCATTCTTATAAAAGATCCTAGATGGTCCCACGCTTAACGAAATGATGATGGAAATGATCGGTTCATGCTTTGCATTTATTCGTTATCCCATTAAGTGTACGGTATTAGTACTGCGGTGCGGCCACAAACGCTGCAATTTCATAGCATGCGCAAACGAACGCTACGCTAGCGTGTGCTGGTGACGCTGGATGGATATCCATCCTTCCCTTGCCGCTGCCGAACGCTGGAAACGATAGCGTACACTAGCGTACGCTGCCGCCAAGTATAAACGCAACCTAATCGTTTGGTATAGCTTCATTATTACAGGGGAGTACGCGTTTACCTGTAAGGCTGCGTTCATACTCTGCGGCAGCGTGCGCCAGCGTACACTAGCGTTTCCAGCGTTCGGCAGCGGCAGTGACAAGGAAAGAACAGATGTCGATCTAGCGTTTACCAGCGTCACCAGCGTTTGCTAGCGTACGCCATTGTTACGCCACCGTTACGCTGGCGTAGCGAGGGCAAGCAAAGTATAGGTATCGATGAAGCAGGCATTTCACTAGCGTTTGCCAGTGGCGGGACTAGAGCGTATAGGAGAATAGGAGAGTAGCGAACGGCTCGACTGGGCGTCGTGGAAAATTGAGGAGTGTGCAACCGCATCGCAATAGTAGACAATACCGTACACTAAAATGGTAGTTCGCATAATTCTGTGGTCTGGCTGTTGGAACGGAATACTGAAATGTCACTCGCCTTTCGCAGGTACTCTATCATTTTTAGGGTTGATCTGTTGGAAATTGTTCCGTTTGGGAATTTTTTTTTGTAATTTTCATGGCGTTTCTGGACAATTATACGGCATATACACATACATGCTCTTATGAAAGATGCTAAATGATCCCACGTTGCTTTATCCTTCAATTTTATGCATTATGCAGTTAACCATTGCATTATGCAATCTAGCCAACTTAGTGGACGGTATTGTCTCGTAGTTCTACGCAATTCTACGACGCCTAATCGAGCCGTTCGCTACTCTGTTCTCGCCCGTACTCTCTAGTCCTCGCCGCTGGCAAACGCCAGTGGAACGCTGGCAAACGCTAGATCGATACCTATACTTTCCTTGCCCTCGCTACATTGGCGTACGCTGGTGACGCCGGCAAACGCTAGGTCGATATCTATCTTTTTCTCGTTACTGCCGCTGCCGAACGTTGGAAAGCTAGCGTACACTGGCGCACGCTGCCGCAAAGTATGAACGCGGCCTAAGCAAAAATCGCCATTTACAGGATGATGTTTTGCTGTCGACTCTTCCAGAGGCTTCCCCTATGGAGAATCCTATTGAGTTATTTTTTTGTGTAAACGTGTTAGGGATCCAGCTCTGCTTATCAGCCAATAGGTTCCGCGCTTCTTGTACAAGCAGATTAACCGCAGCCACTGTCACTCAGTGTGGTACGCTGCACTACACTACGCTCTACACTACAGTATACTTTTCTTGGGAAATTGCAATCCGCTGGCAACATGTTACGATGTAGAGCACCAGAATGGTACAAATCGGATGGAGCAGAAAAAACTATTTGCGAGACCGTATCGTCGAATAATTCTGATCGCTGCTTTATGCTTTGCTTCAATCTCTCGACATTAGCGCTCCACACAAAGGAATGTACATATTTACCCAGCATAAATTCTCATTACGAATTAGGGTGCGACATGCTTTCCAACTGAAGTCCATATTCGTTTTAGGCGTCATTATCGTTCCATGGAAGGGCATTTTTTCATACAGTAGGCATGATTTCGGTCTTTTCTAACGGATTTAAGGCATATGAGCAACATTTTGACGCTGATAACAGTATGCTGTGGCCAACACAGTTTTCCCCCACTATCATCTTTCTTCAGATGGATGAATTATTATATTCTCAGGTATTTAACGGAACCCTTTGCTGTTTCAAAGCGTTTGGATGGAAAGTGATGCGGTATTGCAGTCCTTAACACATTGTGTTCCGGTACACAGAAAAGAGAAATCTACTGGGATCCAGTCGATGTGAACATCAGTCACTTGAATACATCAGCAAAACAAGCTTTTTTCGTGCAGATCTGCTTTTGATCCTGCAAGGCGATCTTCTCTTTGTCGTGCGAAGAAGATACACTCTCAACCACTCGTCTCTTCTTGTCAATCAGCGAAACTCATGCAGTTTTCATAATGGGAATGTTCCCTGATTATCGGAGCCGTGGAAAAGCCCGATAGATGTTCGTGTAGGTGCAGTTGTTGCAAGCTTAGGTGACTGTGCTCACTGGCCTGTTTAGGAAGAATCTAGTAAGCTCATCAATCCTTCCTTGTGGCGACCAAAACATCTAACCGCTAACCGAATATATCTGTAAGAGGCACTGATATACGCGAGACGCTGTCTTTTGACGAGCGACGTCTTTCATAAGTACAAACGATGGCCCACTGGATATCAGCACTGGGAAGCCGAAATATGAGTCGAAAATCTCTACAGAAGACTCTTAAGCTCCTATACCTTAGACAAGCTCCTCATCTACCCGCTGAAACCTGCTGAACCTTCGGAAACTCAGCGGTCAAAACATGCGAAAAGTACTTCAAGAACTTCTAGAGCAGTCTGGAGTTTACAGCAAAGAAATTATGGGGAGCTAAGAAATTGACTGGAGAACAGAATCCCTTTTTTAGAGACTGAATGCTTGAAGCTCTCTACAAACCAGCCGACTCCAGAATCAACCCTGAAAGGCCGTGTAAGCATCCCTCCTCACAGATCAGAATACATGGCGGCTTCACGCGTCGCAGGCGCCGTCCAGAGCAATAGATTTACCAGTATTGGACAAAAGAAGCGTAGGAAAAGATTTTCAGAATCTCTCCAGAATATCCCAATAAATGAAGATTGACTGGACTCCCAATCCGTTTTGCAGGCTCAAAAGACGAACAAATCGTCTCCACTGCTTATAGTTGAAATCGTGTCTCTTTTCTAAGAATTCGATGCTAACAACTTAGCTTACCGTCGTATTCTTTTTACGTCTAGAATACCTTGAATAAATTGGAGATTATCTCGCATTCCCCCCCTGGCAGGATATAACGAACTTTCCAGGAAAATCGTCCAGTATCACTGATCTCCGTGCAGCTCTCACAGGAAAGCAAGTTGACCGTGCCGCGATTGGAGATTATCTCGCATTCCCCCCCTGGCAGGATATAAACAGAACTTTCCAGGAAAATCGTCCAGTATCACTGATCTCCGTGCAGCTCTCACAGGAAAGCAAGTTGACCGTGCCGCGGCAGTGCTGGAATTGCAGAACATGATGGGTCGAATTATAATAGACATAAAAGGTTACCTCTTAGTTACCTGAATGCCGAGAAATCTCTGAAAGATATAAGTTGCAGCCATAGCAGGATTCGCCCGAATAGCTGCAGGTGACGTGTTTGAAGTGACCGTGCGACATGGCAACCAGAAATGGCGCACCAAGGGAAGAACGCAGTCAGATCGCACGCAACGTTGGGAGAGATCGCAAGCAATTCTGCAGTGTCATCCTGAAGCCGCGTTTGAGGTTAAGGTAGGCAAAACGTGAAGTAATAGTTTCTGCGCTGAACTTTCACCTTCTGCGAGAGTTTTAGTTGAAATTCGAATGCAGCTGAATTTTTTTGTTCTTCAGGTTGCGGAGGTACACATGTTCAAAAGCAAGCTCTTGTCAGAACGATCTTTCGAGCTCTGTGATCTGTTCTCCTCGGAGCCTCAACTTGTAACTATGAACCTGAATCAAATAGGCACCATGAAATTGCAGTTAGTTGTGACGTGGATGTGAGTTTCTAAGTAGCACTTATTTGACAATCGGGAAGTATAGATGACCCTGTACGCTACACTTTTTGTTCTAATGAATCGTAAAGGGCTATCATAAATGGTGGGTAATGAAGCTCAGTTAGTAACGACAGGGTGCTAAGTATTTAATAATGAAGAAAAAACAGAAAAATCTGCACGGAAGGCCCTATATGTGACCCCCTGCTGATGCATACAGAGAAGAGGCGTGTTCGTACGAAATCTCACCTGCTTTTATAGACCCCGGTCACCTCAACTCAACCACCATTTTGTAAAAAAGGGAGATAGTAGAGGGGCTGCCAGCTAATAGATAGAGGCTGGGGGGGGGGCGTTGGTATGGACCTAAGAGGGGCTCTGTGACTAACCGTTCAGCTTTCACCGGAACTCTTGCGCATTTCGTTTTTCGAATGTAGCTCAGCCTCTACAATCGCGTACCGTATCATCTGACCATTTGAGAGGTTAGTTTATCGCGGAATGTGCTTTCATCGCCAAACTTTGATGTTTATCTTCTGCATTGACGTCGATTTGGGATATCGCACAGCGCAGCGCTCTGCTTAAAGACAGCGCCCGCGATGGACTTTGGCAGGTTTCAGGAGTCACATTTGCTAGAACAGGTGCCCAATGAAGCACTAATCAAAAAAAAGCAGGAAAAAGGTGTGGAATAGCGTGAAATAAGACCCTATGAAATTTAAGGCATGTGGACGAGTTTCGCAAACTTCTGGTGAGTTCTCCAATACACGTCGCCGCCTCGGAACTCTAGAAATTCAGCGTATATCAGTGCCAGCAAGCATTGATAACTATCAACCAGTCGGGGCGGGATTAACAGGACAGGAGGCGTCAGACCGGCTCTGTTGACTCCGCCCTCGTCAACCAATCGATTTCGAGCCGCAAGAGTGGGATTTCTGCTGTGATTGCGGACTCCGCGTTCGTTTTCAATGGAGGGTTTTTTTCACTTTGGTTGATCGCGGACGCTGCCTTTAAGCATATCTTTTCGAAAGCGATGATTTTTTTTTGAATACATTCAGTTGCAAACCACGCCTGAGTGAAGTGTGTCATATTGGAATGGCTATAAATGATGGCGATTTTATACATAAAACGTTTTGTTAGAACTGCGGATTGTTCCTATTGTGTTCTAAGCCGCCCTGTCACTTTCCACTATCAAAAAAGATTCTTTCATGTCTTGGACTCTCGCGAAGGTTCAAAATCTCCATATTACCTCATGTTGAACTAATCAGAATACGTTCAAGCCCTCTTCTCGCATCACATTCGTCACTGAAAGCTCCGTTGGCGCCAGACGTATCCTGTGACTTGAACTCAGAAACAATTGAGAGGAAACCTCGTATTATGTTGAGGGAAAAGAAGCGTGGATCGGCAGCAAGGTTCGTTCCTTCTGGAGCAATCATTACTTCTATACTTGTCTATACCACTTCCCCCCCCCTTTCTCAATTTCTGCCATTTATCCGATCCCGATGCTCTGCCCTAGCCTAGCCTAAGAAGTGAATGTCACGTTCAATTTCTAGGGTCGCGCTGAAGGGGCAGTGGCGCTCATCTACGACCTTGCTTGACAGTATCTACCAAGATGTCAGCAAAACAATTCCATCTGTGGACGCGGTGAGTTCAGCTGTGCATTTATCTTCTTCTTTTTCTTCTTCAGCGTTTGTCCCGCTCTGTGGCGGGGTCCGCTCGTCTTATTTTGTCACGCCACCTCACCCGGCTGAATGCTTGATCGGGATGGGCGCCAACTATCTTTAAGTTCGCATGCAACGTGTCTAACCAGCGCTGCTTGGGGCGCCCCTTAGGCCGCTCCCCGTGAACTTCGAGCTTAAGACCAATCCTACGGACGGTGTCACACCCCGCGCGGAGAACATGACCATACCATCGAAGGCGAGCTTCGCGCATTTTCTCGGCCACGGAGGCTACACCGAATTTCTTCCTTATGTCGTCATTACGTATGCGATCCATACGCGTGACACCGGCTGTCCACCGCAACATTTTCATCTCCATAACTCCGAGGCGCGCTTCAACTTCTCTGGTCGTAGGCCAACATTCAGCACCGTATGTCACGTCTGGTCGAACGACGGTCCCATATATCTTCGATTTGAGGCGATCTGGTATCGTCTTGTCGCAGAGAACGCCAGTCATAGACCGCCACTTAGACCAGGCTGCACTCACACGCGCGCTTACTTCTGAGTAGAGACTACCGTCAGACGTAATTGTTGATCCGAGGTATTTGAACGCTGTCGTTCGCGTGAGCACACTTCCGCTGACCCTGTGGGAACCAGACTCGTCCGGGTCAGTCGTCAGGTCGGTTTTCCTGACGTTCCTGAGTCCGAAGTTTGCCAATCGTTCAGTCTAAGCTTGCTATTGTTCCTCGAGACCATTCTTATCCTCGCAGGCCAGCATAACATCGTCAGCGTAGAGAAGCGTCCAGGGAGCCGGCTTCTGGAGGTCCCGTGAAATGGCGTTCATGACGACAACGAAGAGTAGCGGGGAAAGCGCTGAGCCCTGGTGCACCCCAATGGTGATGATGAACCCCATCGAAATGCCTGCTGGACTTCGCACTCGACTCGTCGGGCTGGAGTAGAGGATGCGTACCCACTCAATCAGCTCTTCGGGAACGCCGTGCTGCCGTAAGGCATACCATATAACATGACGTGGGACACGGTCGAATGCCTTCTCCAGATCATGGAAGGCCAGGTGAACGTGCTTCTTCTTCTCACGATGTTTCTCTAGCAAGAGACGAGCGGCATGTATGGCGTCGATGGTGCTGCAGCCAGTCACGAAGCCACACTGGTTGGTTGAGAGCTGGACGATATCACGAAGACGTTTATCAACAATTCGCTCAAAAATTTTCATGTTGTGCGAAAGCAAGCGAATTGGACGATAATTTGAGCAGTCTGCAGGACTGCCTTTTTTCTTCCAGATCGGTACCGTCGTGCTCTCTTACCATACTTCAGGCATTTTCTTATCTGCGACGACCTGATTGAAAAACGTTGTCAACCATTCGGCAGCGTGCCAGCAGTGTGACTTCCATACTTCGACCGCCACGTCGTCAGGGCCCGTTGCCTTGCCTGGCTTCATCTTCTTGAGAGCCGCTTCCGTTTCTTCCACGCTTATCTTTCAAACGGGACCGTATGTTGGTAAGGCGCAAGGGATGGCCGGGTGTTCATATTCCACTATGGAAATTTCTCTGTAGTAGTCGCGCCATCGCTTCAGCACCTTTGTTCGGTCCATTAGGAGGCTGCCCATCTCATCATTGATACCAAAGAACTTCTCCACATCTTCGGCCTGCGGTGACGACGCTTGTTAGCAAGCGGCCAATATGCCGCCATCTCGCTGTTTCAGCTTGTTGCTGATTCATCGACGTGAGAAGCTTTTCGGCCACCCACAGCTTTCCTTTGCCGCTTTTTTTCGCTTCCTTGGTAATTTTTGCCAGTATGCAGACTGACTTGTCTTTTAAGGAACAAGTGGCTAGCGTCTCTTTTCTCCTGATCCTTGGCCTCGTTGACGTTATCGTCAACAACCATGCCTGCTTTTCAATGTCTTACGCTTCCAGCTTTGACGACTTTGCTTTCAAGTTCAGAGCGAGCGGCGTTGGACAGTTGCTTTGCAGCATTCTTCACGTTTGCGTCGAACAGTTTGTGACAGTTGGTAACTAATGCGAGAGATCACAGCTGCCTCTTTCTCCTTTATGCCACCATTGAGCCTCTCGGGACCACATCGCTCCATCAAATTTCGACCTGGGCGCGCTTTATCTTTAGCGTGCAGATAAGCAGGCGCATGTTGCGAGGCTACTGCTCTCATACGCGCACGTCTTCGGCCTTCTGTGGCAAGTCCTTTGGTCGCGGATGCCTGACGAGAACAAAGTCTATTTGTGTTCTGGCGCTTCCGCTGCAGAAGGTTATCAGGTGGGCTTCACTTACGGAACTTTGTGTTCACGATGGCGAGATTATCGGGCTTCTGCATATTCCAAGATGCGCTTTCGCCATCGGCGTTACGTGTCCCATAACCGAAACGATCATGACAGCTGTAACCGTCTCCGTTGCGCCCATGTGCCCGTTAAGGTCACCGGCAACAATTACGACGCCTACTGACGGCTACCTCAGCTGTCTTCTCCTCCAGCACAGACTAAAACTCGTCCTTTGATTGTTCATCGCATCCCGTTTTGTGGAGCATATGCAGAAGAAGAAGTGGTACAGTCGCTGCTCGACAACAAGAACAATCTTCATCAAACGATCGGTTCGAAACGTTCCACGCTAGCTATCCGAGTCACGGAAACGTCGTGAGACGCTTACTGCCACACCTTTAGTGGTCCTTGGCTTCCCGCAAAGAATGGCTGTGAAGCGCCCGACCAAGTCTCTCGACTTGCAACTTGGACCATCTTGTTCCTGCACTGCACAGAGATCGATTCGCCTGCGCTCCAGTGCCTCTACTAATTCACATGAACGTGCCGGGTCAAGGTTCCAACGTTTAACGTCTGCGATACGGACTCTTACACCGCTGCTCTGCACGATTTGGACTAGCCTAGGGTTGCCACCCGATGCCATCCTTGCAGCGAGACCCTCGCATACTTTCCAACACTCGCCGGGTCATACGAATGGCGTCGGCCTCACCGCGGACGCCTAGCATTATCTCGATATACATATGGCATGACAAACATAGTGATGTGACATGGCTGTTCGTTAGGCGGCCCGTCACGGAGGCCTGTCACTGCGTTCGTGCGTCTGCGTTCGGCAACTCGCAAAGCGAAAGTATCCAGTGGCACGCGAGGAGGAGTAGACTCACCACCAATTCAGCTGTTGCATTTTATACGAATAATAAGTTTACTTTTGAGAACTTCTCCTGCAGTTAGTTAAAAAACTGGCTTCATTACATCTCTCTGAAAATTGCTTCGTGCAATAGTCATCACTACAAATGTTTCAAACTCAGTTTTCTCCACTCTTGCCGTTGCATGTTTATTTACTACTTCCGCACTGTCAGTTCCAGGCAGTGTCGATTCTTAAAACTTGAGTCTCACGTTTCTTGGTTTCTTCCTGTTCTTTGGTGGGTATAAAAACGGTACTCAAGCGAGAAAATGCACCAAAATGCATGCTAGAGCCATGAGAAATGGTTTGCTACGATTCTCATGGAGTGGTAGTCGCTCCTGTTTGGTAATTTTATAGTAATGTTGTATTTCTTGTTAGTGTAGTAGTTAGGGCTGATTTATCATCCAGTGCGTGGATTACTTGTGAACTATAAAACATCTTGAATAGAGTGGACCGCTTTTCGTGTTCAGATGTCTACATCGATCTTCGCCGTTCAGCGACATCCATGAGTCCAGCACGGTCGATCAACCGGTCGCTTCAGCTTGTGATAGCTCACCTTGCCAGCACTCCTTCGGATAAGCCAGAAAGTATCCGGGCTCTCAACAGGAGCGTCTTTCATTCTTTTATCCACCACAGCCACGATGTGGTGGTATATATTACATATATACCCTAAAACCATAGATAAGAGCAGGTCCATAGTAGCAGCGGTTTGTGCTAGAAAAAATGAAAATTGACGTTCTGTATATACGTTTTTTTGGCGTTGTGTGCTCCTGATTTATCGCAATAATAGCCTACAACTCTACCTTATTCTTACTGGTTTCTTATACTCTTTCTATTCTGTATCACCGTGGCTATGAAACGTCGTAAATCGATTATACAGCAGCATTCAGCTAGACGCCGTCAATTATCGTGATTTGCATGGAACCTTTGGCAGCGGCTCGTCAATTTTGAAGTCACTGAAGCAATGATAAGGAAAGTGGGTTGTTGATCAACAAAAATCTTCAAGAGATGCAGCAACGAAGCGAGCCGACGATACAAAAAATCAAGCGTGAAGAAGTGAAGAGTGCCATCGTACACTTGGTCGTTGTCAAAAAACGAGAAGAAAATAGAGTGTCACGCGTGAAAGAAATAAGGGACCAAAGCAAAGGAATTAGCGAAAAGCATGGTCACCAAAGCTCTTCGCATTGGCGGGTGCAGCCTGTTATGGCGGCGAAAAAGCTCTCTGTACGAGAAGAACAAGTGTCGGTCAACCATTACCGTGTGACCATCTACAAAGTTCGTTACAACTGAAGCCTTAAACGTATCCCCTTTCAATCTGGGAAATCATTGATGAAGTATTCACGTCTTTGATTCATCTAATGAACGGGCAGTTGATGTTGAAGGGGACGACGGAGAACATTAAAATTGATTCTACCGGATGAGAAATCTAATTTTACTGTTGTAATGGGAGTGACTGCTGCCTGGAGAGAAACTTAAGTCCAATGCTAATTTTTAAAGAAGAGTTAATGCGCAGAAGGACCCATTTCCTCCAGATGTCATTTGTTGAAAACAAATGAAAAAGTTTGGATGAATTTCAGGAATTGCATGAAAAGAATGGATCGTTGAAGCATGGAACAAAAGAGAAAATCACAATTCCGACCCTGATCGCCTCTTTGCTGAATTTTGAATTGCTGGTTGCCCACGTAACTTGATAGGAGTGAAACAATTTTAGTCAACGATATAGCAAAATTGCCGTATACCAGAGGCATTTTACGAAAAATATTGCACCCTTTAGACTGTCAGCATCAAGCAAACCGTTCAAAGATCACTGGAAGCTTGGCTGGGAAAATTGATAAGAGATTGATGCGCAAAGCCACTTACACAAAAAACAAGGAATAAGGAGAAGGATGAGCTACGAAGAAGCTGCATTTTATATGTTGAGCGAAAGTTTTCTATCATTTCATCTGATGTTTATTCAACATAGCTTTGAAAAAGCAATTGTTGTTGATTTGGAAAATCTCAAAAACGATTTTTGACGAAGTAGGAATTAGAAAAAGTTTAGTGTATATGTTTATGTTGGAGTATCCTTGTTGTTGATGCTGTGAACATGTTTTGTTGTTAGCAAATGTGTTATTGAGATGGAATTATGCTGAAATAAAATTTTTGAAAATGTTTTTTTCAAATCATTTATCACCGGTTAAATTGAACCGCTCTTATATCTATGGAATTTTACTGCTCGAATGGCCTCTGTGCAAGTTCTATCCAGAGCATCAAATTCCGGCGCATTCTAGAGAGATTCCGGCAGAAATTCCGTTAAAAATCGCTATTTTTCCATATGAATTGTTTATTAAGTGGCAGGGTTTAGAGTTGAGGGGCGGGGCTTCTTCTTAAACTTTCTTCTCGATTTTTTTTATCTATCAATCAAGTATAGGAGGGGTTGACTGCATTCAATTTCAATTTCATTCCAATTCATTTTTCACCGGTAAATTGAACCGCTCTTATCTATGGGACTGAAAATAGCTCGAGCAATGGGTTAAAGTTGAATCAGGCTAGAATCATGGAACATACAGCGCTCTGTTACTTCCGAAATTCTAATAACATCAAAAGAAATACAGTGCGCCTATAATACTTGACAGTGAATCGGTAAAAAGTGGTATAATGTGACGAAAATGATTTTCATCAAATTCAATCAATTGGTATGATTACTTACCACAAGACCACACGTCTTCCGTTCACAAAAACTTTAGAATTTGGTAGTTCGAAAGCTCTAACACCTTGAACAACGATGACCGCAAAGTCTCTTATCAGTCCCTACCAGTTGTTATAGCTTTTTGTCACCCACGTTCCTGACCCCATTTCACACCCTGTATCACCTGCTGGAACCAACGCTTACTCTGCGACCCACGTTATGGTAACAGGGGCCCTATCTTTCTGACGCTTCTTATCCAGTCCTATCAGATTCTGGCAGTTTTTGTCACCAACCTTGTGTTCCTTGCCAAACCCTACGTCGTATCTTGGAACCAACCTCCTACTGTTGCTGTGACCCGCGTGATGGACTCAGTGACCATACCCTTCTGACATCTCTCGAATCTTATCAGCAGCTGACAATTCTGGTCTTCCACCACTAATGTTCCTTTCCCATACCCTACATCATATGTTGGAATCAACATATGATGGCTGATGCTGTGAACCGCATTATGAATATGATGAGAGTCCCCTTCTGAGGCCTCTTATCAGTTATTATCAACTGATATCACTTCATATCACCCACCAATAGTGTTCCCGTCACACCCTCTACGTCACTTCTTGGGACGAATATCTCGCTGCTACTGGGACCGGCGCTATGAATTTCGTGTTCCCGTCCTGCCTTGTATATCACTCCTTGAAATCAAGGTACCACGGTCGTTGCAACCTGCGCTACTAATCTAGTGTCCCTCGGCGTCTAAGGCTCCGTATCAAATTATATCAGATGCTAACACCTCCTGTCACCCACCAAAGATGTTCCCATCCTTCCGTGTACATCACTTCTTGGAATCATGCTCTCGTAGCTGAGGCAACTTGCGCTACGAATTCGGTCACCCTCCCCTTCTAAGGCCCCTTATCGAATCTTATCAGGTGTTATCACCTTCTGTCTTCTTCTTCTTAATCTTCAGCGTTGGTCCCGCTCTGTAGCGGGGTCCGCTCTCCGGATTTTGTTACGCCATTTAACCCGGTCGAAGCTTGATCAGGGTGAGCACCAACTATCTTTATATCCGCGTGCAGCGTGTCAAGCCAACGTTGCCTGGGGCGTCGTCCCGGTCGTTTGCCGAGCACCTCGAGCTGGAGACCAGTTTTGCAGACGGCGTCCGCCTTCGCGCGAAGTACGTGGCCATACCATCGGAGACGAGATTCTAGCATTTTATCAACTATGGAAGCTACGCCAAACTTCTTGCGTACGTCATCGTTGCAAATCCGATCCATACGGGTGACGCCGTCCGTCCAACGTAGCATTTCATCTACATCACACTAAGGTGGGCTTCGATTCCTTGGTTGCAGGCCAGCACTCAGCCCCGTACAACGCTACCGGTCTGACCACAGTTCTGTAGATCTTCGATTTGAGGTGCTCCGGTATGCTTTTGTCACACAGAACTCCAGTCATCGAGCACCATTTCGCCCATGCTGCACCCACACGAGAGTTCACCTCTGAGGTGAGACTGCCATCGGACACAATTTAATCCAAGATACTTGGAGGCTCTTATGCGTGTGAGCTCGATGCCACTGATCCTAATGGAATCAAACTCATTTGCATCGGTAGTCAAGTACTCGGTTTTCTTGAAGTTCAACTTCAGTCCGAACTTTGTCAGGCGATCAGACCGAGCTTGCACCTGCTGCTCGAGTTCGTTCTTATCTTCACTGACCAGCACCACATCATCTGCGTAGAGGAGCGTCCAAGGACTCGGTTTCTGGAGATCTCGCGAGATTGCATCCAAGACGATTACAAAAAGAAGTGGAGAGAGCGCAGGGCCTTAATGTACTCCGACCGTGATGGGAAAGTCCTGCGATGTGCCTGATGGTGCATGCACGCGGCTCTTTGGGCTGGAATGCAGGATGCGCACCCACTCAATAAGCTCTTTTGGAACGCCGTATTGCCGCAAGGCGTACCATACAACTTCACGCGGAACACGAATGCCTTTCTAGATCAAGAAAAGCTAGATGCAGTGGTACTTGCTTCTCACGATGTCTCTCCAGCAGAAGACGCGCGGCATGTATGGCGTCGATGTTACAGCCTGTCACAAAGCCGCTCTGATTGATAGAAAGCTCGACGATTTCGCGAATACGACTGTCAACAGTATGCTCGAAGATTGAAGAAATCCGTCAACTATTGTGCAGGGTACCAGCACCGTGCCTCCCACAAACCGGCTGCCACGTCTTCAGGTCCTGTTGCATTGCTTGACTTCATCGTTCTGAGAGCCGCTTCGTCTCTTCTACGGTTACTTTCTGAACGGGACCGTATACTGAGGGATGAAAGGGACGACCGGGTGCGCATACTCTACGGTTGAAATATTCTCAAAGAAGTCGTGCCATCGCCTCAGCACTCTCTTTCGGTCCAGCAAAAGGCGGCCATGATCGTCGTTAACCCCAGAAAAATTCTCGATATCTTCGGTCTAACGATGCCGAACCTGGCAAGTCGGTAGAGGTGCCGCTCACCATCACGTGAATCGAGCTCCTTATTGACGTCTTCAAAGTAGGCGGCCTTCGCTGTAGCCGCAGCCTTCTTCGCTACATTCTTCGCTTCTTTGTAATTACGCCAGCTAGTAGCTGACTTGTCGGCAAGAAACGCGTGGTAGCTCCTCTTCTCCTTCCGAACCGTTTTTTTCACATTGTCGGTCCATAAGCACGGCTGTTTATCAATTCTACGCCTTCCCGGCCTCGTGACGCCAAGTGCGGAACGAGCGACCTCATGTATCGCTTTAGCAGCACTTTTCTAGGTCTCATCGACAGTCGTGACGGTGAGAAGTCGTATACGAGAGATCACAGCTGCCTCCTTTTCTTTCAAGCGTCACCATTTGACGCTCTCGGGACCACATCGCTCGACCCGTATGGACCGGAGCTTTGCGATCTTTAGCGTGCAGATTAGTGGGCGATGTTGTGTGGCAACTGTCTCGTACGGCACCGTCTTCGCGTCCGTGATGACCACTTGGTCGCGTTGTCTAAGAGGGACAAAGTCTACCTGCGCACTCCCACTGTAGAAGCTGATAAAGTGGCAGTCTCGTTTGCGAAACTTCGTATTCACGACCACAAGGTTATGGGCCTCTGCCTCTGCGAGAATTCTTCCACCATCGGCGTTACGTGACCCATAACCGAAACCACCATAACAACTGTAGCCGTCTTTTGTAGCGCCTACGTGCCCATTTAGGTCACCAGCAACAATTACGACGTCTTCTGACGGGAGCTCAGCTGTCTCAGCTGTCTTCTCCTCAAGCAGGGCGGAAGTAGTGGTACAGCGCGTTCCGATTAGCAATACGAACCTTCATCAGGCGGTCATCATAAGCGTGTTCTACTGCTGAGCTATCGATTTGTCCCCATCGGAAAACGTTTGAAGACTATTACAGCCACTTCCATTTATGGTTTTTGGTTGCCAACACAAAAGACTTTATGCCTCCGACCGATGTCCCTTTGGACTTGCAATTGATCTGCTCGGTCTCCTGTCAGCGTTCCAGCATTCAACGTTGGGACCTTCTCCATGTTGCCCGACTTTTGAACTAGCCTCGGTTGCCCCCCCCCCCCCGATGCCATCCTTGCATCAGGGACTCTCGCACTCTTTCCACCCTTGCCGGGCCATACGAGTGCGCGTCGGTTCCCGCGGACGCCGTAGCACTGATTCGAAATTCACATGGCATATTGAACACTGGAATTTGTCTTGGGTGTTCGTAGGCCCCGTCACGAAGGCCTGTCACCTGCTTTCGGTTGTCTGCGTTCTGCAGCTCGCATAGGCGAGCTCCCAGTGGCACCGCATGGAGGAGCAGACTTCACCACCTGTTATCACCTTCTGTCACCCACCAGAAGTGTTCCCGTCCTGACGGGTTGACCCCACGCCAAGTCCAACTCCTCCTCCTCTGGTAATTCCCACGGAACTTTGAATGTATAGCCAGGTATATGGACTAAGCCCGAAATGATGGTTGCAAATACGGGAATGGAAATTGCTTCATTAATATGGAGGTAGTTATGAGCT